TTTTTTGTTTTGTTTTTTTGTTTTTTAATTTTTATGGATTGGTTCGAACCCCATCGTATACAAATAAAAAAAAATTATTGCATTTCATTTTCAGCAATTTGGCAACATCTTTTTAATCGCAAAAATTACCACGAAGAGGGAGGTTCGTAGTTGTGCCTAGGAACGGACAAACACGTCAAATTGAAATCTACTAAAGCAGAGTAAAATCGCTTGATAAAGTTTCTTTAGACAAATGGAATATTTAAAATCGACTAGAAAACGTTTGAGTTAAGAAATTTTAGGCTTTGTCCTTTCAACTGGTATTATGATATAGGTCAGTACTATCTAGAAGAACAATTTATATGTGAGAATTAGCTGTGCCCTTTCAAGCGGTATGATGATAAAGGTTAAAACCATCTAGAAGGACAATTCATATGTGCTTTGTCCTTTCAAGCGATATGATAGGTTAGTACCATCTAGAATGACAATTCATATAACTGATTATGGATATGACCCCCTACTTCCTGATGTTAAAAGATGATGTTAAAATACTTTGCGCATCATTCAAAAGTTCGCGAGTGTCGCTAAACCTTTGACATTATCTTTCACGCGGACGTGTAAAAGATTTTTGTTGCGAGACAATAAACCGTTTCGAGGATCACGCAAAACCTATAACGTACTCAGTTTTTTAGTCCAAGCATGCGCGCAGATGCCTCCTTAGGTACCCCTCCCCTCAACTTTATTTCCATACGTATACCTGTGGCTATTGACGCTGTAACCATCCTTTGTTATTGTATTAAGTGAAACTAAGAAGTTTACTGCTTAGTTTTAATCAATGATTATGTGCACTTTTCATTGCGTGTCTGCATTCTGAGATGAGGTCGTTCTCATGGCAAATGTCAAGCTCAATCACGCATGCTATCAACTCCTTAAAGAACAAGATATCGATCTGACAAGAAGCAAATAATTACCCTTACTGAATGCRAACAAACTTATCAGTTTCGTAATCACATCAGATATAAAACAGGCGCGCATTTATTTTAAGAATCATGCTAAAATGTCCACAAAAATGTCATCCGAGAAATGGAGAGAGCGTCTAGATAGTATATAGGACGGTTGGTACGTCTGCGCTTACTTAACAGTGCCGGAAATCAATGCAGCTAGATTGGTTATACATCAACGTTTAATGGAGTAGTTGGGGTAGTAGGTGTCAGTGCATATATGGGTTCACATACCACTATTTAAACAGAAGTGCTGCCACAGTTCTAAGAATTAAAGAGCTGGTATGTCTATCTTATTGCGCAAACCTAAAAATTAGTATGTAAATTTAGCCTCTGATGATGACGGTGACCGTCGAGATCTAAGGCAAATAAGAAGATTATACAGTAGTGTATGGCCTCACTTGATTGATATCTACATAAGTATATAAGTATTGACTATATAGACCCTAAGGCTAAACTAACCTTTTACATGATATTGCCCAGGTACGCAAATGTATACACTCACTGTGATATATATTTTCGTCTTAACACCCTATCCATTTGCACAGACCCTAAAGGAGCGTTGCGCGTTCTCGTTTATTGATGCGGCTCATCTACAGTGAGCTTTTTCAACGTGTCCCTAAAATTTGAAATTAAAATTCCTCGTGCCACGAAGAGTTCTTTGAACTTTAGTAAGGCGCGTGAATCGCGCATAAACGTTTTCCCCCTAATCAGTGCCAAACGAAGAAATAGCTCCACGCACGCGCGTAAAGAGTAAGAAGTTGTGAAGAATCATTTAACTTTGTTACTAAATTTGAAAACACTAAATTACAGAAAGCACAAACTTAGATAAAAAGATCTGATAAACTTATGGACACTCAAGTTTGAAGATAAGGGATCATCGGATTCTCTAGATGAATTATTTGGTTCCGCCATGTCTATTTTAATTTTGACACAAATCTACGAGCAAAATTTTTGATTAAGCAATTACCTCATAGGTTATCTGTGAGGCTACGAATCGCACTTTCTAATAAAACTCAGTAGTTTATTATTTAAAATTAAATTTAAAACATTCATCTTTATGTCACCCATATTGCTTGTAAAGCGAAGGGCGTATATTACGTAGCGCATGATGTAGCTATGTCTGAATACCGTATTTCATGCAGTCCTCCATTACTATGCGGACACACTAACCGGGACCTTTTGAACAAAACTGAGCAATCAGATAACAGCAAACTAGAGAGAAATCGAACTGATAACAGTGTTAGCCAATCAGATTATCACGTTCTCACGCTCTTATTTTATCGATGTGCTATCTAATTGGCCGGTTCAAAATATTGAAATAGATGTCACAATATGATTGGTTAATGATACTAATTTATCATAGTGGACCCGGTTGGAGTATCCGCACGATAAGACCCCCGGGGAATAATATTCTTTTTCAGTAGTGCTTTTAGGTTGGGGGATTTATTAATTTTTCTGATCTTTTGAAATTCATGATTATATTTATTCATAATCTCGACAGATGACATGTCTTCCAAAGGCCTGCCAAGGGAAAAGGACCGTAACGTTTCCTAGTTGTGTGGGCTTATTAGAGGCTGGGAACTTAATAGAGAAAATACATTAGGTAGAGTCGTTTGGCAGTACGCACTCTTGTGTTTCATAAATAGACCGGGCTTGGCTTTTCCTACCCCACTCGTCTTGACAAATCAGCGTTCCCTCCCCTCCCATCAAAACATGCAGTTTAAACTCTTATGCCCAACGCGCAAAGGGGATCATGGGCACGCACATTGGGACTGCATTCTTCTTCTCGTTGTTTCCGGTTTTGTTCGATCTTATTTATATCTGATACATACTTGCATGGTAGAGTAAAAAAAGAGAAGACTACGACAACGTAAGAAGAAGATGACACACCATCTTTTGTCGTACATGCTAGGTACAGACACAACTGTACTACAGACACCAGCCGGCTTCGTCGTTTCAGAAGGTGTCCGTTTTAAGAGAGGGTTGATGTGAATGTAGTCATGCAACAGAATATCACTTATATAGTTCTCCTTGTGTGCTTCCTTTCCGGATCTCTGCTGGAATACCTCCCATATGCCAGATCGACTCACGCATTATTCTCACTATGGTTTTTCAAGTTTGACAAATTCTGGGGAGGTTGCAAAACATTCTTTATACGAAAATAAATGAAACAATGACAGACTATAAAAACCGATAGTACACAAGGCGAAAACTATCAACAAAATCTACATTAAAATAAAATAACAAATAACAATGTTGCCGTGTTTAGTACGATCTACTTGTAATATTCAGTCTGCTAATCTGATAAGAGGTTAAGCCGACCGTGTCATCAAAAATAGAGTGAATTATACAGTAAATATACGATGATTCTTGGTCTTATCAGCGTGACGATATATCCCAAGAGATAATAAACACGATCGGCCTGAGGGCGTATGGAACACAAAAACATAGCGTGCTTTGTCTATCGCGATGAACGAACTCATGAACAAGAACAGTGCAGTGCCAATATATTAYATATTTTGTTTAATTGATAAATTAATTGGTGATAACTTAATTATTGCCGATAATTTGATAATGTTTTGTTTATATGTCATATTTGTACAAAGACATATTTATAAAGCTTTGTTTTCATTTAATATGAGATCGGTATTTAATTTATATATACAAGATTCCGTTTTTTTTAGCAGTACAGTTTATTCCGAACAAAGCCTGCGCCGAAATGATACACTATGAACCCGAAAAGCGAATAACAAAGCTGGAACTCACTAAAAGCAAAACCGTAAAGCCGTCATTCACTATATACGACATATTTTTCTTTTTGTTGTAACTTAACCCCTGGTTTAACAGTAATTTCTTTAACAGTTAGAACTATTACCGCTCGCAAAATTCAACGAAAGGTCGTTAGCAATACTAATCGATTCAAACGATTTCCTATCTCGTTGCTTAATTTATTTTTCCGGCGAGAAAAAAAATCCCTAATCCGTAAATTCCCTCAGCTGGAATTTCAATTACACATGTCGGCCATCAGAGAAATAACTGTTCGTGGATATATGATAAACTTTTAAATTGAAAGAAAGATAAAATCCTTCTAGAGATCCAACTGAGACGCATTGAAGCCAAACGAAAGCCGCTGTGGTGTTCGCTTTGTTTTTCAATGAGCAGAGGAATCCGGAGAACTTGATAAGAATTCCAAGAGCTTGTTAATAGGGTCAAAAAAAGCTGTCAGATAAAAGAATATTGAAGAGCTTTTAAACTTCATACTACAGCAAGTCATTGGCAGCTTTGTTTCGTAATTACTGGCTGTACGTACTTGGATTTCAATTGACTGAGCATTTAACCTTGGTCCACCGGCCTCAAAATGAGCGTATACTATAACAGACCTAGCAGCAGCAGTAGTAAGCGTCGGAGTAACCAAATCAAAATCGTTCTTCACTCCATCGCTAGGCCTACTGGTAAAAAGAGCTCTGTACAGCGCAAGGAGATGACTCGAAAGGAAACAGCTTCACCGATGATGACATTTTTCTCGGGTCCTGGTTTCGAGCCTCGGGAACTGGAACTCGACTTGCGGGATTTGGTTGGAGTAAACATAAATGATTTAGATGACTCTTTGAAAGGTATTTTACTCGACGATACGAAGAGGCCGGGCTCTACTGACGTCGATGATATTGATAACGTCTCGATTGTGTCCGAGATCTCGACTTGTAGCTCCGCAGTTACTGTGACTTTGGAGCCGGTTGATGAGGAGCCAAGTGCTACAATACCTAAGCCACCTTCTTCACCGACTCCATGGAAAACTGCCGAACCTTTTAGCTATCCTTCGTCGAGTGAGGCAGAAGAAGAAGATAGTAGGAAAAGTGGACGAAAGAGCAAGAAGATTTCAAATTTATTTTCATTCAATTCCGGTATTGCAAACCCCAGCCCAGGGCATTCCGAAAATCAGCAGTTAGAACGTAGTTCAAGTGAGCGTAGAAAGAGAAGGTCATCCTTAACGAAGTTAATGTCGCCTTTAGCATTAAGCATTTTTACAGCGAGTGGCCTTCCAAGCGCTCCCATCAATGTTGCTGAAATGAGACCCGATTTGTTCGAAAAAGAGTCCAAAAAATCTTCCAGTCAGAGTAAAGCAAGTAGGAAGCTCTCCTTGACAATGTTCCAAAAGCAAAGCTCGTCAGATAAAAGTGAAACTAAAAAGCGCAGGAATACAGATCCTAATTTGATTCAAAAACTCAAGACTTCCACCATAGTGGAATCGGAGTCAGAGGGTCTGAAAGCAGAGAGCGATGAACCAAACCAAGAGAGAGTGAGAAAAGTATCTTTCAACTCGTTAGCGCCAAGCGTACAGGATCTGAAAGAAAATGATCTGCGCGTTGAACCCGAACAGGCCAGCTTCAAAGAAGAAGACATTAGGTTGAGAGATTTGATGGGAAAAGTCCTAAGGTCTCACATGCTGTCAATGGTAGATTACAAACGTGAGACCTGTGACCGCACTGGGAAAAGCATTAGTAAAATCATCAAGACTATAGTAGAATCAATCAAGGAATCAGAGGGACTGCCATCCAAAGTGGCTTGTCTGGTTTACATCGCAGCGGTCAGAGACGAGGGAATATTCATGTCTACGCAAGCCTTGTGGGATTCGAACCAAGATAATTTTGCTGCTGCTAGTTTTAGGAATGACTCTGTTTTTGGACTCGCAGTTGTCATAGCAACACCTTACATTTAGAGCTATCGTGTGGTCATGGCAATACTACTTACATCATTTGACGTCAATGTACTTTTGACGCAACAATCGTGATAGCAACGCCTTACTTTGAGTAACAACATATTTTGCTATTACTTGTGCTGTCTTGGTAACATCCTACTGCTACTTCATTCTCGGGGTTTCATCTGTTACCACAGTTACACCACATATCTACCCCATGTTGCTGAAACTGTACAATTAATGTTGGCCTTGACAACGCCTGCATTTTCTCCATTTTCACCTTTTGTTTCATGCAGTTTTGGTCAAGAGAAAATATTAATCACCTTTTCCAGAAATTTCTCTTGGTTACCCTCAGGCGCATAGTGATGACTTTAAGAACACTCCTGACTTCCATTCGATCGCGGCTCATCAAAAACACTACGTGCACGCTGTGAACTATAGTATAGCTAGTGTATTTATTAGGACATAAAACAGAATCCACAATGTAATCGTTTGAAAAGTTTGGTTTGTTGAATTGCGCTCGTGGGAATAATTGAATGACGCAAATTCAGAAGAAAAAAGGCACAAGAAAGGAGACCCTTTTCATTACCGTTACACAGGCTTTTCTTGGCGTAAATGCAAAAATGAAAACTTTAATTTTTGATAAGAGTAAAGAAGATACCACAAAAATGTATAACAATTGTTTTTTTTACGAAAACTTTGAAACCTTTCACCTTGGAAAGTCAATTAATGTATTACGAAGGGCCGGGGGTTGTTATTTGGTTGAATCGACTGAACATAGCATGACCACGAGTAGAGTTCGTATCGCGTGCATTATTGCTGGTGGGGGTCCGGAAGCGTAAGGAAGATAATGGCACGCGCACCTCGACTTGAAGGCCAAAGAGATCACGGTCAGAAGTTTTGTTAGAAATTTAAGACCCTGAATTATAATTAATTAGTAAATAAATTCCAGGAACTATTAATGCTATAGATACCATTCGCAGTTCATATCTCATTTTGCAAACGCAAAGATTTTCACTTGAGCTAACATCGCTCAAAAGATACTTTGAATCAAAAAAAAATTTTCAAAGAGTATACTTCGTTCGCACTGTCTTACTTGGTGAATTGAAGGTAGGAAAGGTGGTAAGGTATGAGGCGGCCGTTTGTAACATTTTCTTTGCCCTTAGTTAATTTTGAGATCTTTTCTCTCTGCGCCTCTTGGCATGATAAAGTTTATTGAGGAAGTCTTTATCCCGGCAGACTTGCCTTGCTTGCAATTCCAAAGGTCAGTCATCAAAAACACAACGAAATGGGATATAAAATAACCGAGATCACCCCACTAACGTCCTTTTGATGGCCGATGATTGCTTCGTTTAAGACCACCCAGTTTGTTTCTAGTTTACTTTAGCTTATTCTGGAAGCATTGCACAATCGCTTAGGGATCGAGGGGAACATTAACTGCCACTGAAGTCCAGGGGGTAAGCTTTTTATGACTGGATTCTGTTACCGTGTAATGGAACTGAGGATCTTACACCAGTCATAACGTCTATCGTTGGGGCCAGATGTTTTGGTGGCTCACATAGAAGCTGCTATCACGTGGTCTGTAACCTGCGTAGCGGCTCTCTAGGGGGATTGGGAACGAAGGAAAAGGGAAAGGGAAAGGGGGGAGAATAGTTACCTCCTTTCTCCCTTCCCCCCTTTCCTTTTCCCTCGTCCTCAATCCCCCTAGAGGCGCCACGCAGGCTACGTGGTCTGCAAGCCTTCAATCAAACCGCAGACCTGAAGATTTGTCAGTAAAGTTTCAAGGGCAAAGTGTGACAAGGGTAACAGATTTCACACATGTTTTGGTTGCTTACATGCAGGTAGCCATCGTGTGTGTTCACTTGACACTATTAAAATGCTATCAAATGTCACGAAATATTTAAGTTTTAAAAGTTTAACGAAATATAATGATGTCTTAGTCTCTCAAATGCAGTCCTCAAGTCATCCCCGAAGTCTCTGATCCACAAGACTGTTGTAAAAGAACAAAAAACCTTTAAAACTGTAAGCTAGGACAAAATAGAAACGTTCAGTTGTAAATGAGAATCTTTTCAAGTAGTTTGAAGACAATATTTCAGATAGTTTGCGCTTTTTCCATAATAATATATAGCGGGTGCTGGTAATGACGAAAATTGATGAAAGTAGTGATGTTGAATTGCTTCTGAATCAGACGGTGATACACTGTTTTCCCAGTGAAAATTAAACTAGTTATGACTGATACCTTTTTCCGTTTGGTATGGTCTAGGCTAGCAAGTCATCGTGCAAGTGCGCTTTTCATTGGAAAGAATTCAGAATATACATGTTATGGGTGRTGCATCCAAGGGTCAAGTGCTGAAGAATACCCACTTTTATCAAGGTACTTGTATTTAGTTTAGACTTTAAATTGAATTTGTTCAATAGAAGGACTTCATTGATAACAGTAACTTGGTAAATTAGCTAAACGAGTCACCATATATCGAAATGAGGAGTTCTATTAACTTATCTACAGCAATGAGACCAAAACTTTTTAGGCAAATTCTACAAACTGAAAAAGAGACTCGAGAAGGAAAGTCTTTTAAAATTAGAAGAAAAAGAGCACAATTGATTAAAGGAAGGGGTGCAGCTTTGCAAGGACTTGTGAAAAATAAACTCAAAATATAGACATGGAGGATCCCTTTGCTACAAACAATACAACACCATAATATAAACTAATTTATCCTGAGTCAATCAGGAACCTTGACAAGTGATGACCCTGAAGATTACAAAAACACTTGACAACTAGACAATGTTAGAATATTAAATCACGGTGCAGCTTTTAGTAAGGTTGTGTGAAAAAAATATTTCGGATCTAGTTTTTCTAGATTTTCTAGTTTTTCATGCATCTTTGATTCTGTCGTTCAAATATCAGATTCCAGTCTGGATTCCCTTCATTGTATTTTGTATTGTGGATCACTCAGATATCAGATTCTACAGGTCCACACCTTGGATTCCAGATTCTGCATCTTGGATTCTAGATTCCATGTTTCAGAGTCCAAGTTGTTGCATCTTGGATCCTAGATTCTTTAAATTTAGGAATCTTAATTTACACAGAAGAATTTCAAATACACTCTTCAAATGTGATTGTTTGAATTTGCTTCAAGTGACCCAATGTTATTTTAGTCTTGTCATCCAACAAGATATTAAATCAACCTTTCTGGATGATTATCTTGTGTGCCAAGAGCATCTTCAAAATGTTCTAACTGTTATGGTAACCTGTCTCAAGCATTTGATGATCGTATTAACTTGCACCGATACAGTAAAAATAAATAATCAAATTGTTCTCAAGAATATTAAGACTTGCTTGCAAACCTCTTATGAATCACTAGAAAAGCATTCCTGTTAAGGAAACATTCACCACCATTCAATACAACTGCAAGACAAGCAAGATTTTAGTTGACAGATAGACAAGGATATCCACAAACTGAGGTATGGTGGTGTGTATGAATAATACTAAAACAAGCCCCTTTGGTGTATGGTTTTCCTATTTCATTCATTCTGGTTCTCCCATGAGAAATAATCCTTTGGTTAAGTGGATGTAAATCAAGGTTTTATTCCCAGGGTCTCCTTCCTTAACCTAACCTACATAATGTACTGATGCTTGCATATGGCTAGTTTCTTGTTTCAATCTTTTGTAATCTGACCCAAAATCTTCAGTTTAAAACTTAAAATTTTAAAGATTATGGATTTATGATGCTCTTTTATCAAATTAAAAATACGTTTTGACCCAGAAATAGATTTTTTATCTTGCCACATGGAACATGTTTGGGAAGAAACACATGAAACATATTAGAAATATTTTGACAAATTTAGATAACAAAGTCAATAGTCCAAAATTTAGATATGTTACATGAAAAGAATAATTTTGAGTAACTGAATAATCTTAAATAAAATACACATTTGGATAGTCTGCTAGACAACTTCAACAGGAAACCCAGATAAGAAAAAGATGCCTGCTGACGAATCTAGCTTTAATCATGTGGATGATATATACTGATTATACAATGATTTTTAATGGCATACCATTGAATATCCTATAAGGCACTTGTTTCTAGCAGGCACAAACGTTTGTGCATCTGTGTATACTGAGAAAATATGGATGAAATGAGACATGATACAACAATGACAACTATTCTATCTCTACACTATTTAAAATAAACCTATGATGCAATGCATGATGGGAAGAAACAGTGGAATACCCCCAAATGTTCAACAGCTTTCTGGCATTCTGGCCGTATTTTCAATGGTTTGGAATAAACCAGAAATTGTGAAAACATTAATGTACAGCCACATCCATGCACTCTAAAAATGGACCACTCTAACAATTGCACCAATGTTGCAATAGGTCTTGCAAAGGCATGACAGCCATAATCTTGCATCTAACAACAGTCTAGATTACTTTTTTATCACGGAAACTAATTGGAAATGACGACCAAAAAATTGGACAGCTATCATGTTTCAGATGATGTCATGCTTTGCTTCATGCAAAACAACAAATCCCCCACAAAGTCCTTCAGGTTTAAACTCATCTTCGACACCTTTTTTACCCAGACATTACCCTCCTCAACATCATCTGGGCAGTCTTTTAACTCTTCATAATTAATATCAAAATCATTCATTGATTTCTCAAGGTAATACCAATGTCCCAAGACTCCAATGTCAATCACTTGTTTCCATAGATACACCCATCTGGTCTTGGTATAATAGCAATGTTTTTCATATCCATCGTATTCTTTACCATAATCTTTGAGCAACATTAAAGAGAAAATGCCAAAGCTCTGCCTCTGGAGTCTGCCTTGATTATAAAGCTTTTGAATGCTCTGTGTATAGCTATCAGATTCCGGGCTTCTGATACTATTACTGATTTGTAAGAGCGCTAAATTGTTCTCCATAACAGTATCGTAATATGTATTCTCGTCAGGATTGTGACGATATACCAGATACCCTACACCAACCAATCCAAACTGAACCATTGACTTTAAAGGCCTCTTTTTGATGCCTTTCAAAAAATCCACGAACACATTCTTGTAGTCCACATAAATATTATACGCAGACTTACCAAGTCTGTGCTGCTTGAGGCTTTCAAACTGGGGTAAAAGTGTATTATTTACACGATTTGCAGTTTGTAACACCTTTCTCACTCCGGCCGCCATTTTGGTTTGCGTGACCCACAGCGCATGCTTCATATCGTGGGCTCAGTTTACCACGTGATAGTCTTCAAGTCAAAATATTTCCAATAACAAGATAAAAAAGGCAGTGTTTTTAAAGAATTTTTACCAAAATGGTGAGTTTTTCTCTATTTTTGTAAAGGCAATACTATTCTCCAACTCCTTATCTTTCTTTAAATACTAAATTTTACCTATTTTGTGTTCAATAGATTATAGAAATCTTAATTAATAATTTGAGTCTTTATGAGATGAACCTAGCATTCCTTGATACTATTAAAATAAGACCTACTACATATTTTGAATGTCATTCTTGTCCCCTAAGATTTCATACGGAAAATCTAGGATAATTCTAGTTCCACTTACATATATTTCCTTCTTATTTTATAGTAAAGCAAGGTAGATGTAATGATATTTCGTATTTGTTGTAGTTTTGACGTCAAGGGTTTGTTGTGATTATGTTTTATTAATAGAATGGAGATCGACTTCCAGCTTAAGTAAGATCCTTTTAGATTTCAACGTTAAAAATGCTCTAGACATGTACAGGTTGTGTGATCTCGGAAACAATAAGAAATTATCAATGGTTGTACTGTATTTCATCACATTTTCATATAAGCTTAGCTTATTTATTTTTTTGTTACATGTAAGCTTTAACCCTTTTGTTTTCAGTATCTCTTAATACACTAGTATCTGTTATGGGAGGGGGTTTATACTTTCATTGTCCTCATCAATAATCATGCCAGCATGTGAACAGGAGCAGATCCAGGGGTGGTAATAGGGATGGCTATTGACCCCCCTTTTGCTCAAATTTCTCAGTATATTGTTAGTAACAGTCACCCCCTTTTCCTCAAATTCCTGGTATAAACTTTATAATAGTCACCCTCCCCCCCTTCTCAAATTCCTGGATCTGTTACTGGTGAAGCAGGTAACTAACTGCCAGTTAGGAGATGATTGAGTCTTTCTTTTGAATGAATCAAACTCTCTTATACTTACAGCCCAAGGCATTTAAAGTCAGGAGCCATACCAAAAAGGCCATTCATCCACAGTCTAGAAAAGCTTCTCAGTTAGCAAGAGCAGCTCACAGAAAAGAGAAGATACAGAGGTAAGTACTGGAGATGCTGATGCATGGATATACTGATATACTACCTAGTCAGTCAATTGGTCCTTAACTTGTCTGCCTGTCCAATCATCTATTCATCCATTCATTAATTAATTATAATAAATAATTCATTTATTTATTTATTTGTTTGTTTCTTCACTTGTTCCTCTATTCATTTGCCAATCATTGTGTCATTCATTCAGTAGTCATCTATCCATCCATTTTTAACTATTCACATATTCATTCATTTTCCCATCCATTCATTCATTCAAACTTGTCCATTTCCTCTAACATTTCCTTCTAACATCTATTTGACTTGTTTATATATTTATTCAAATTCAGAAAAAAAGAAGAAAGAAGTCAACTTCTAGAAGCAAGAGGTATTGATGGGTTGCAAGCATTTTCAACAGAGTCAAAAGACAAAAACATGGTGGCCATCTTGGTGCGATAAAAAATCAATGATAATGTTAAATCTTTTGTTAAAAAACAAAAATATGTTTGCGATGACATGACAGGCTATTGAAGAATTTAAATTGTTCAACAAAATACTTTGGTCTTTAAAACAAAATATTCTCAGATAATATTGCTTTTTGGAATAGAGGTTTTGCACTGTCACGTGATGGCAGCCAGTTGTTAGATGGCAGGAACAATACAATAGTTTTACATGAGAAAGAATTCAAATCCCAAGAGTAATGGGATTTTATTGTTCTGCCATCTACCCACAGGCAGCCCAACCTGTATTATAGGTGTGGGCACATGACGGTGCAAAACCTCTTATGAAATATTTGACATGCATCCGTACTCTTATTTTCTTTGCTTCTGCTCTCTTTCAGTGGGTGAAAAGTGCCGGTGGTTTTTTGAGCACATTGACGAAAGAAAGCAGAGATATGCAGCAGAAGAAGTAAGAGAACTGATTGAAGAGTAAGTAGACATTGATCTTTATTCATCAGTCATTTTTCACTGCTTGTGTTTGCCATATCAAGGGTGACATCGCAGCAGTAAACTTGCCTCTCACCTTTGGGATCTTGGRTTTAAATTCTGGACTTGGGATCGCCAGTGAGTTGATTTTCTTGGGTGATTTAAGGAATCTTTCTTGGTTCTCTTGTTTTTCTCCCTTGGCAAAACAYAAGTCAAATTTCAAAATATGCTCTGTGGGTTACCTGTGCTTTGATCAGCCCAGAGATTGTATCTTCTCAAAAATGAACATGCCAGCATAGAAATGTGTGTTGTAAATATTTACTGTAGTATGGAAGCCTCCCCTTCCCTTAGATTTTGAAATTCTAAACAAAACATGCAACAGTTTAGCTCCCTATCATGTCACTAGTCGATCCACATCAAGACTCTGCTCCTCAATCTTTGCATAAGGTGAATAAAGAATACTGTACCTTTCCAAAATGTTGTTTCCAGATACCTTCAACGCTTTGATGCAGAGCTGCAAAAGATAGAGCAACTAAACAATGCAGTAAAAGGCAGACAGGGGAGAATATATGCCACCAAGGAAGACAACATGAAGACAATCATTTCCATTGAAAGTGAGCTTTTTAATACAGGAGGCCTTGGTAAGTAGCTGTCTACATTTATCTACAATACTTTTTTGTCTATTTGTTCCATTTGGCCATTTCCATTATGTTTTTTCTTTGATTTTTTTATTTGTTTTGATTGCCAGAGGTACCAGACCTTACATCTGCTAAAAACTTTGAACTGTTCAAGTAAGTTTTTATTTGCTTTTATTTCTAACTATCTTTTGATGTGGCAGGAACAATCTAAGACTTTCCCCATCATATGATAAAGTTCCATCCTCTGTTATAGCTGTACATGACACAAGGACTTCAATCTATCCCCTATGTATAATGGGTTGAGGTCTTGCATGTCATCAAATGAGAGACCTGCAGTGCGATCCCCATTGTAATATCAAATGGTCTTCAGCTTCTCTTTAATCCACCCAGAAAGCCTTATCAGTTTGGGTGATAACGTTTTCCCATTTCAGACCACATTTCATTCACTTGAGAATAAAATGCTTTGTTTAAGTTGTAAAGTTCCATGTTCATGTGTATACTCATGTGTGACAGTTAAAGAAAGAAATGATACTCTAGGGTATGACGTGGTCTGAAATGGGAAGTCGTTGCACAAAGATGCATAAAGTTTATATCTGCAGTAATAGAGAAAATGGGCAGGACAGCTACAGTAAACGAGATACAGAAACCACTGACATTCAAAACTGTTATGATTATTTTTAATATTTTTTTAGGGAATGGAACTGTGATATGAAATGTTTCTCACCAATATGTATGAAGGCTTTTACAAAATCATGTCCGACTGAATCCAGATCTCAAGTACTAGAAACAAGAGAATCGATTGATGAAGAGACAGAAGACAGAGACAAGAAGCTAGAAAAGGAAGATATGAATTGTTCTTCCTAAATTAGCAACAATCCTTGTTGTAAAATTTGTCTTCAATATTAGAATGTTTTTATTGGAATTGTATTCTAAAAGAAGTAAATTATGCTAAAGTCATTTTATTTTTCCCCTCTTTCTTTTTATCTACAAATTTTCATYAGTTCATTAATTTTGTTCCCTTAGTCATTCGATCCTTTGTCCATCTGTTGCTTTGTCCTTTGCTTCATTCAAATGCTTGTTCGTTTACCCTTTGCTTCAATTTTTGTTTATTGTTGGTTCATTTGTTCGTTTATTTTTCATTCATTCTTTTTTCCACCGGTTATCTCAGTTATTCGTAATATGATTGTCCTTGCTTTTATCCTTGCTTACACAATTATTATTTGGCCCATGACTTACAGATAGCCAATACATCCCTCTCTCTCTCAATAATAGAACCCAATTTCTTTCCTGACCTTGCTTTGCCAATTCTTCCCTTTCTAAACTCTTTCATCCTTTCATTCTAGATCTCTTCCCTTCACTCCAAGGCTTGGCTTGTCATCACTTCAATTGATATCCCTCTTTCCTTTGCTTCTCAGGCTTGTCTTGCCCGCCACCCATTCACTGCACTTCAACATTTCACTCATTCCTTGATTTTTCACCCATGTATTTCCCATCCATGTTATCTCTTGTCTTTAATCCTTCACTCCAATCCTCTTCCCGTGCCAAACGCCCAGTTTTTAATTTGTACTTCTCCTCAACCTTTTACATTTTTATTCTTTAGAAACAATTATTTTTTTATTTTTAAAATCAAAACTTTTTTCTTTACATTGTGTAAAAAAATTTAAGCATTTGAATCAAGAACTAGGAAATGGTTTTGGATAATATCTTTAGTTTTGTGACTTAATCACAGCTAAAGAATTTGTAAGGATATTTTTATATGGAAATGTATGCATTGGGGAGGGGAGAGGGGCACGATGAAGTTGAAATCCAAAACAAGAGGTACTTTGGATCTTGTGTTTTGTTATCCTAATTAATACAATTACCGAAAAAAAGAAAGAAAATCAAATCAAATATTAAAATGAATATAAATAAGATAGATGTTTAACGCAAAAAACATTTACATTTGAAAATTATAACTAAAGGAGAAAAAGAAAAAAAAGGAATTATCTATTCCATTTCTGCTTTTGATCTTTCGCACTTTCATTGGTCAAACCTCAGGCCAACCCACAAAGGTGGTTTTTAGAACTCATCATGGCTTGATCTTTTCGCAATCTTCGGTCCACTAAACTCCTCATGTGATATGATACCATCCTCGTCCAGATCTTCCTGCTCAAAGACGTTATCTACCATCTTCTCATGTTCTTGTTGCCAGCGCTCGTCGTGGACTGGTGCAAAGCGAGCTTCGGCCTGGATACGCATATAATTAGATACTTCCTCACGTGTCAATTTATCGTCGCCATTTTTGTCCATGTAGCTGAACATGTCGTGGTGGGGCGCGGGTTTGCGGACGTCAAGTAGCTCAAGGTCATAGGTCAGGGTGGTGTTTCCTGTAAGAAAACACAAGAGGTCAAAAGTGGTTGATGTGACACTGGTGCAAACACTAGTTAGCGCAGCAGTAGAAAAAAGCGAATTTGCGCAAGTATCTTAGTCGATTGGCTTTAAACTTGAAACTGTTCTCACGGACTTCCACATGCTCTAGAAAGATTACTTTATTGAATAAATTTAGATATACAAGCGTGCTAGAATCTCACTCTCTCTTGTGTTCTCTTGCAAACGCACCTATAACTACTGGTTTTCATATTACTGGAAAACACAGGATTTGATCTGCAATTGCAATCTTGGGCGGGGCTAATAAAATGACATAGATAGAAGAAATGATCGCCTCCCTTCCTTACGGTCTCAGGATTGGTAACGCACATATAACCTAAAAAACAAGTTTTCATATGAAGACATGGCCGCCATGTTGGTTCGCATAGCAGCGAAAAATTTGTTTTTGAACTCAACCAAAATGGCAAGTACAACTCATGATATACGCGCAACAAACTAAGAGAGATCAAATAGCATGGTTTCAAGAGGCACATGCAAGGCGCAAATAGATGACTTTAGAAATCAATAAGAAAAAATAAGAAAAAAAGGTAGTAAAACTTGTTTAAAAAATAATAATTCAAGATGTACAGCGGCTTTCACTGAAGCGGAAAAAAGTTTAAAGTTATTTTTTCTGTGTCCTAGAGACGTCCACACAGACCCGGCAAGTTTCCTAAACTTTTCTAAGAGTCCTCCATCACTCGCAAAAATAAGCTTCACTCGTTTTCTCGGAAAAATAAGAATGTCCGACTTGTGGCAGGTCTACTACAGGTTTTCTTGTGGCCTCGCTTCCGTCCATCAAGTTTATACCGCGAACGGTTTTAGTAAAAGTTTGAACTGTTTCTTCGGTCCAAAGCCAAAAACCTCGGTTAAAAATTGCAAAAAAGTAATAACATTTATATCGCCACTAAAAAGCTATTTTTAACTAATATCACTATAGCCTACGAATATGATCGAGGGCCGGAATATTGAGTAACAGTGGTAATGAAGTCGATCGATCCCAGTCATAATTCACTAAATCTGTTAATAGTCTCTCAGTAATATATAATTCATGTCCTGATTGGCTAGGCCAGTTAGATCTATAGTCGTGTCTAATATAGCTACGTCATAGGAAATGTCCCACTTTGCGAACTCGTAAAATATATCATAACAAAATAAAATACTTGCTTTTTCCATGAATGAAAGAAATAAAAGCAAGAAAGATAAAAGAGGAAAAAGCTAATGAAAACCCACACTGCTAAAGAAAAAGCACTAAATGGGAAGTTTTAATAGTTTGAATTAAAGACAAAGTCGTAAAGAAATATTTAAGAAAATTAAAAATGGACAGTTCACTTTTCTTTTAATTGTCGTCACTTAAAGGTATTTTAAAAGATCCTTTTTTTCCAGGTAGTTTATACAAAACCCGGTGGATTTATCGAATGAAATTTCCTGAAATAAATCCTAAGCTTATCTTTACGTCATTCATAAGTGAATCCAAAAGTTACGAAACTCCTTCTAGATTCAAAGCTGTTAAAAAATCTACACCTAAATTAACAAAAATATAAACTAAAGCACTGTAAAATTATAACATTTCCTTGCTATATTTACAAACATTTTTTTTCCATACCTGGTATATCAGGAGTCCCTTTCTTGCCATAAGCCAGTGATGGTGGAATAACAACCTTTCTTCTTTGTGACCTACACATTCCTGTAAGAGCCTGCTCGAAACCTTTAATGACGGCGCCACTCCCGAGGATAAACTCAAATGGGAGATAGTTCTTTCTCTGGTCGATAGTCGTATCAAATAGTGAGCCATCATCCATCCAGCCTGTATAATGGACAACTACTTGGTCTCCAGATTTGGTTTTGTTCTTGCAATCTTTTGGTACGTAAAGGTCTTCAACTTCGATTTTGGCATTTGGGTCAACTTCTTCTTCCTCCTCTTCTTCCTCTCCCTCTTCTTCTGTTTCATCGCTTTCATCTGCTTCTTGTGCTTTTGCTTTCTTTTCTTTCTTTTCCGTTGGTTTTTCATCAGTGTCCACTTCAACTTTTCCATCTTCTTCTTCGTCTTTCACTTTGGAAGCTGCCTTGACAACTTTCTTTCCAAATTTGATTTTACCCTTCTCATTTTTCTTATTTTCCTTATCGGCCAAGCAAACAACAGCCAAACACACTAACAACAATAATATTATGAGTTTCATGTTGATATTTATGTCTTAGGTCAATTCTCGGTGGTTTTTCCTTTTTTCTGTTTTCTTTTACACGTGCAAGTCGTGTCCACCCGCCGTCAGTCCACTCAATCACGTGCAGGTGTCCTATTGGTTGCTACTGATTCGTGAAAGCACCAATCAGGGCTTTTATAACAAACACCAATCCCAAATGTGGTAGTTTCAAAATGAGACAAGAGATGAATAGCATTTCAAGTTCAAGTTCATGTTCGAGATGYGATTTTTGAGTTAATTTTCAGTTCTTGATAATGAAAAAAAGGTGCTTTTCGAACCAATTTGATTTCTACATTTGRACACCTGCAAGTAAACAGGTTTACTGGTACCAAAATGATACAGAGAACTATAATAGCAAATCTTATATTAGTTATATATTTTATTGAACTAATGACTGGATGACCTCGTTTTTGTGCACTTGTCAGCCATTATGAGAACGGTGTATAATCTCAGGCATCTTTATTGCCTTAAAAAAACACCCTAAGAGGTACTGGCGTACTCTCTGGTAGTCCTTTTAGATTTGTGACACCCTAAGAGGTACCAAATTGCAGGTCTGGAATCCTAAAAGGTTGTCCTGCTAGCAGAGGTTGTTTTTCGTCCCCTTGGGATGAGCTGCAGGCAAGCCTGAACGGAGGGCAGAAAAAGACCTCTGCAAGCAGGTACTAAAAGGTACGACGATTCGCTAGAACTAAAAGCCTCAAGATTCATTATTCTAAACTACACATTTTCTGTCAAGGAAATATATGGTGAGGGGTGAGAACGAGAAAAAATTGAAAATTACTAGTAAGAAACAAGATTTCTTGTACAAAAAGCAACTTAGATGAACACTTTGACTCTTACGACGCCTGTAAGCAACCACACAAAAAACTTTCGAAAAATTCATTTTTTATCAATTTTCCAAGAGGTGGCTAAATGTACATCAAAACTAACTCTAACCTTTTTTCTCGCTAATTTACATTTCAGAAATAAAAGGAGAACAAAAATTAAAGCACCAGCATTGATTAAAGTGGGTCCACAAGGGTGGAACCAGCCAAAATTTTAGGGGGGGCTAATTGAGTTTGGGGGG